TCTGTCTAGCATCTTTCACTAGCATAATGTCTTTGCAATGCATTCTTGTTATTTCATGTTAGTCGTTCTTTCCTTTTTATTGCTGAGTAGTATCCCATTGTATAAATAAACCACAGATTATTTGTCATTCATCAATTGTTACGCATTGGGGTTGTTTCCTGTTTTTGGCTATTGTGAATAAAACTCTTATGAATACTCTTGTACAAGTCTTTTTTGTGGACATGAAATGAAAACATTTCATTTCACAGAGTAAATGCTTGTAAGTAGAACTTCAGGTCATAGGGTACGTGCATGTTTAGCTTTTTGAGAAATCACCATTTTCTAAAATGACTGTACCAGCCTTACACCCCCATCAGCAATGCATGAGATTTCTGATAGTTCAACCTCCTTGTCAACATTCAATATTGACTTTTTAATTGTAGCTGTTCTAGTGGACATGAAGTAGATATCATTGTGACTTTGATTTGAATTTCCCTGTGATGTCAAACAATGTTTCATGAACTCTTTCACCAAAGGAACATCTTTTATGAAGTATCTTTTTATGAAGTGCTTATGAAGTTCAAGTATTAAGCCTAGATTTTATTGGGTTGCTTATACTTTCATTATTATTTTGTTGGGTTATTTAAATACTCTGGGTACAAGTCCTTTGACCGATATGTGTGTTGTGAATATTTTCTCCCAGCCTGTGGCTTGCTGTTTAATTTTCTTAGCAATTTCTCTGATGAGCAGAGGTTTTTAGTTTTGATCAAGTCCAAGTTTTCAGGGTTTTTTTTCTGTTGGAGTTCATATTTTTGTGTCCTCTCTAAGAAATACCTCAAGTCTCAAAGGTATTTTCCTGTTGGTTTCTTCTGAAAACTTTGTTTTAGTTTTATATATATTTTATATTTGAGTTTATGATCCATCTCAAAATAATTTTCTGTATAGAGTGAGGAATGACCAGAGACTTTTCTTCTCCTAAAGGTCTGTATAGCTGTCCCAGGACCATTTGCTGAAAAGACTGTCATTTCCTCAGTGAATAGTATTGGCACCTTCTTGAAAGTCAGTTGACAAGTGAGTCTGTTTCTGGCTTCCATTCTGTTCCATTGGTCTTCTGGTCTGTCCTCAGGTCACTACCATACTGTTTTGATTGTTGTAACTTCATAGAACGTTTTGAAGTCAGATGGTAGTTTTGAAGTCACATGGTATGAATTCTCCAGCTTTATTCTTCTTTTTAAAAATAAAATTGTTTTGCCTATTCTAGGTTCTTTGCAATTCCACATAAATTTTAAGCTAACTTGAAGTTTTCTACAGAAAAGACTTTTGAAATTTTGATGGGATTATGTTAAATCTATCTATAGATCAATTTGGAGAAAATTTGACATTTTAATATTTACTCTTTCAATCTACAATGATAGTATATATCTACCCTTACTGAGGTCTTCTTTTATTTCTTTCATTTATATCTTTTATGCTATTGTAAATGATATTTAATTTTCTTTCCACTGGTATGTTGAAATATAATTGACTTTTTAAAATATGGGTCTTATATCCTGAAACATTGTTAAATTTATTTATTAGTTCTAGTAATTTTTTTTGGTAAATTCCCTAGGATTTTCTGTGTACACAATCATACTGACTGCAAATAAAGGCAGTTTTACTCTTTCCCTTCCAATAAATGTATATTCCCTTTATTTCTTCCTTATTATGCCTCAAGTCTTCCACCATTAAGTCAGCTGTTAACTGTAGGTTTCTGGTAGATGCCTTTTGTCAGATTGAAGACATTGGTAATTTCTGGGGGTTTTTCTCTCTTGTTTTTTGACCATCCTACATATGGATTTATCAATTGTGTTAAACTTTTCAAAGGACTAACTTTTGGTTTCATTTATATTCTCTGTTATGTGTCCATTTCTATTTTGTTCTTTTCCTCTATTTTTATTTACTTCTGTCTACGTATTATAGATTTGATTTGTTCTTCTTTTCCTAGCTCTGTAAAGTGAAAGCTTAGGTCATTATTTTCTGGTGTGAATCCTAGTCATCTTACTTCTTCTCTTTTCTGATGACCCCAGTTCATTCTCTCTTTTCTACCTCATTCATTGTATATTTTCTCTGTATGGTCTTATATAGTTTTTTAGTCTCTAGTTTTCCTTGTGCATACATGTTCGCTTTATGTACATGTCTTTTACGGAATCCCTAAATGAATGATAGCCTCCTCAACTGCAAGAACTCTATCTTACACTGGGTTTATAACCCCTTTGGTTCCTTGTCTGTGATTGGTATACAATGAACAGATATTTCTCAAGCACTATTGAGGTGGGAGCTACTGTGGGTGATGAAGGTTAGGTACGACTTGGACATTCTTTAAGAATTTAACTGATTTTTAAAAAGATGTTAATGATAACATAATATATAACAAGAGCCAAGTGAGATGACTGGACATAAACACTTGAGGCATTCAGAAGGAGAGGAGACTGTAGGGTGAATCAGTGAGGAAGACTTCAGAGAGGAAATGGGATTTGAACTGGCTCTGAAGTAGAGGTAGGATTTAGGTGAAGAGGATGCTCCATACCCACTGTGGGAATAACATGTGCAAAGGTCCTGGGGTAGAAATGTACACTGCCTGTTTGGAAGACAGGGAAGAGACGTAGGATACAATGGGTAGCCCTGGCTAGTGTGGCTCAAAGGTCACGGGTTCAATTTCCGGTCAGGGCACACGCCCAGGTTGCGGGTTTGATCCCCAGACTGGGCTCTGGGGCACATAAGAGAAAATCGATGTTTCTCTCCCTGCCCCCTCTCTAAAAGCAATGAAGAAATGTCCTCGGGTGAGAATTAAAAAAATAAATTAAGAAAGACAGAATGTGTAGAGAGCTCTGACTACCTAGGCAAGGACACCGGGCCATGGGTTCGGCACACTCACATACGATGGCAGACCCACGATGCTATTGCGGTGCTCACGCAGTACTCTTCCTCCCCGGCCCTGCTCTCTGAGTCGTGTGGGAAGGAACTTCCAAGCCAAATCATCCGCAGTTTGAACTTGGCTTTTTTTTTTTCTCTTGGGGATTTCCTTTCTTGGTTGCCTCTGTAACCCAGTCAGTCCTCGCAATTCTGGATTTTCTTAAGGCTGGGGCTGTTTGCAGGAAAGCCTGGTCCAGCTCCACCTTCCCTGTCTGGCTTAAAGAGGCTACACACCATTAATTAGAAGAAAAAAAAAACCCCACCTTTTCCAAAAGAGCAGCACAAAACAGATAACCCAAGTGTCTTTCTCTGAGAAGAGTAAAGCATTCTGTCTACAAACCGACATCCATTTTGACTCTGCGCCTGTTCCTTCACTCAGGAGTCTTTGTTTTCCTTGTTCTCTTCAAGTGCATGGGAACACAGGAGGCATTCCCATCCTACAGAATTTTACTGTAGTTCAGCAGGATTTGGGGTGGGGGGAGCTGTGCATGTGCAGGAGTGGTCCAAGAGGTCGAAGAAGCCCCAGGTATTTGTAGTAGAGGTAGCAGAGCTGGGACCACAGGCCACTCACACGGGGACACCAAACAGCAAATTCAGAAGCTGGGGCTCTGAGAGCCCAGGGGAGGGAGCCCCTCGGACGGTTTCCAGAAAACGTGGAAGTGGAGGGGCTGGATTTGGATTCAGGAGAGGATCATGTAACCATCGCTGAGCGCTGCCACTGAGCACTGTGTTTCAGGGGGCAGTAAGAAGCCTACCTGGGCGAGACAGAAGGGTGGGTGTGTGGAGGGGGTGGACGGGGAAATGAAGCTTCAGTGGAGGTCATATTTCAGGCTTCCGAAGCCTAAATCTGTGCTCAAACAACAGCCAGAACCCATGGAATTAAGTGTATTCCTAACTTAGATTTATCTATATGTCCATGTGGAGAATTTGTTATGATAACCCATTTGTTAAAATGCAGTGTGAGTTAAGGCCAGTTTAGTTTCCGAATGCTACGTTGAAATCAACCTCAGACCTTGGTCCTGGTGGGTCTCTTTGGGACCCGTCTGCTCATCCAGGCCATGACAAGTGGCAGCAAATGGAAGAGGGGAATTCTGCTTCCGCCTGTCCAGGGCTGGGTAGAGTGGTTTCTCCCGGTGTCCTGCAGCACAGCCCAAGGCAGAGTCACACCTCTCTCAGCTAACAGGGTGCTGGCAAGGGATGGTCTGCCTTGGCTAGGCTGGGGGGCAGGGGGGAGATCAAAGATCCCTGGACACACACAGAGACAGCCTACCCAACCTCCCCGAGGGACTGAAGTCTGAATCAGGCTACCTATTGTAAGCATTTGGGGGTAGACACCAGGGAGCCAGCCCTACTTAGGGGGCACTTAGTGGGTGTTCCTTACAGTCCCTGGTTTGTTGGTTTGGGGAGCTGAGGGGACTTTGGGTTTTAAAAGGTACTACATCCAGGACTAATGTTTTGGAAGGCCTGGGCAGCTTCCTTCTACCTCAGAGCACTCGTAGAACACCATAGGGATAAACTGCTCATTTTTAATTAAAAAGACAAACCAACTCCTTTCTTCCACGTTGGGGCTTGTGACCGTGTGGAGCATGCGGGCTGATGGGCTCCCCTCCCCGCTTCCCAGGGAGAAGTTGGACCTTCTCTGTCCGTCCTGGGGCCCGGCTCCTGGCTCAGGGCTGCTTGCCCTTTGCAGCAATACCCTTGCCCCTCAGACAGGGCTTACTGGCTACGAGAAGGGATATTAGGGTCAAGCTCTCTTGCTCCCAGTCCTGGCCCAATTCAGGACATGGACGGTGGCCCCGACAGGGCCTGAGCCCTGCCAGCTCCCTCATCCACGTGCCTCTCAGTCCTGTGTCACTTCCTTCCTGTTTTGTGGCCCTTCAGTTTCATAATTTTAGAAACTCTTCCACAGCTCTTACTTCTTCTATTTTGTTTATTTTGGTCAAGTGTGTCCTGGAGGCATCGTGTTTCAGGAACTTCCTTTCAACTGCTGGCTCCCCCATCTGCTCAGGCCTCGGGGCTTCCCTCTGCGCTGTTCCTGGTCTGACACGGTGCTCTTTCTGTCTCACCAGAGTCCCGACATCCTCAGCACCGCGGGCTATGACAACATCATCCAACACCTGAACAACGGCCGCAAGAACTGCAAAGAGTTCGAAGACTTTTTAAAAGAAAGGTACAGGCCGTTTCCTCTCTGAAGACAGAGGGAAGACCAAATGCTCCCACACAAACAAGGCCCAGCTCACTACTTGTTTGTGGTGGTTCGTGAGACCCTCTGCTGCAGGTCACCAAAGGTTCCCCAAGGTGCACATGATATCTCTGTCTTGAAGTTCACAGAAACCAGTTGGAGAGTTAAGATTTATGAAAGAAACTGCAAACAAAATATAATAAAACATTCAGTTCTGTGGTCTGCGTGACACTGAGAGACCTCACACAGGAGAGAGGGATTGTGGAGGACTGGCCATAAAAAGGGTGGTGGGTGGGTGAGAGCTTCATGGAGGAGAGGATCCTTGAGTGTTTGATAGGTAGAAGGGACCCAGATATCCATGGGGGGAGAGCAAGCTTGGAAATGAGCAGAAGTGTGACCCATGTGAGGGGGGGTGGCACATAGAGTGTGATTCAGAGACCCCTGGGTCAGGGAGTGGTGACAAAGATGTGGGGACAGGTCAGGGCCCTCCAGTGGCAGTGGGTTTTGGTGGGGGAGGGGGGACTGGCATGCTATAGAGGATTTTCTTTCCTTTTTTATTTTTATTTTTTAAGATTTTACTTATTTTTAGACAGAGGCGGAGGGAGAAAGAGAAGGAGGGAAACATCAAAGTGTGGTTGCCTCTCACGTGCCCCCTACCAGGGACCTGGCCCGCAACCCAGGCACGTGCCCCGGCCAGGAATCAAACTGGCGACTCCCTGGTTCACAGGCCCACACTCAGTCCACTGAGCCACACCAGCTAGGGCGGATTTTCTTTCCTTTTTTAAATGGATAAGACTTTTTTAAAAATCTTTTTTTAATGGGTGGGTTACTTTTGTGGAAACCTTACTCATCTGGGACACTCCGTTGTGATTCTGGATGGGAGAGTGCTTTAGGGGGACTTTTGACCTGAGATGCAGGCCCCAAACTAATGAACTGTTTATGTTTGTCAGCCAGTGAGTCAGAGCGTCGTAACTTGGAGATACAGACATCCAGGTGGTTTCGATCAAGTCTCTTATTTTCTACTCAAGAGAGCACTAGGCAACGGGGAGTTCACACTGGTACCCCTCTGGGTTGGTGAGGCATCTCTCCTTGAACTGACTCAAAGGTCGGGGGAGCTGTCCTACTGTGCGTCTCAGGAGGGCCGGACAGAGTGAAGTCTGTCCGCTGGAAGGCTTAAGCCAATGTTTGCGGCTCAGCAACTCCGGGCAGAAGGGCAGGTGACTTTCTGGGAGGATGGGCTTGTTCCTTGCACAGAGAACTTCTCTATCTACCTTTTCTTTTGATTTCATACATTCTCACTCACTACACCACTCTCTCTTTTCCAGCCGGACAGGTTTACTAGTGAGCGTGCTTCGGATGTCTGCCTCTACCTCCCTACTCCATTACCTCCCACCTGGAGTATCCTCCTTTGTCCTCTGTGCTTACGTAAATTCTCCCCATCCTTCAAAGTCCAGGTCAAATTTTCCTCTTCTTTTCTTTTCTTTTCTTTTCTTTTCTTTTCTTCTCTTTTCTTTTCTTTTCTTTTCTTTTCTTTTCTTTTCTTTTCTTTTCTTTTCTTTTCTTTTTCCTTCCCTTCCCTTCCCTTCCCTTCCCTTCCCTTCCCTTCCCTTCCCTTCCCTTCCCTTCCCTTTCTTTCCCTTCCCTTCCCTTCCCTTCCCTTCCCTCCCCTCTTTTGTTTTCTTTTGTTTTGTTTCCTTTTCTCTTCTTTGAAGGAAGCTTTCTATAAAGCACTCCAGTCTGAGGCCTTCCACTGGTTACCAATTACAATGAACCTATCATATCAATGGTCACCCAAACCTACCAGCTCTCTGCCTCCAGAACCCTTAGTGGGGCCAGCCATTACATACTGAGATCCTGATCTGAGTAGGAAATAAGAAATAGAAAACTGAGGATACTCATCCTGCAGAGAGTAGCTAGGGGTGACTAAATGAGATTCTATTAATAGCTGTTATTTGTTGAAGATGTACTAGATACAAGCAAGCTATCACGTACTTTGCATATGTTAGGTAATTTAGTTTTCATAATAACCCTGTATGGCAAGTTTTATCATCCTTATTTTACAATAAAAAAAAAACTGAGGTTCAGAGAGGTTTTGTAACTTGACTAAGGTCAGACACAGAATAAGGAACAGATCTGGTTTCAGACTTAGGAAAGTTGACCCCTGGGAACCACCTCCGTATGCCCAGTACAGTAGCCAATACACGTTAAGTGGTAGGTAAATGGTACCCATTACCGATATTGTTGTATTAATTCTAGAAGATAGGTAAGATTAATATAACAATACACAGCATCAGCTGCATTTTACAAGTGAGAAATCTGAGGTTTAATGGGGGTTTACATGACTTCCCAAGGTCACGAAAGCAGCGAAGTCGTGGAGCCAGGACTTCTATTAAACCCGTGTCTGATGGTTTTTCCACTTTACTTCATGTTCTCCTAAGGTGGCATATTTTCTGAAAGGGGTTTCTCTAGGACCTTGGGGCCAGGTGAGCACTCTTCATTGTGTATTGCAACACAGTCCTGAGTAGAGGGGAGGAAACGTGTGTGCGGAACCCCTTTGTGGGTGGACTTCCGCACCACTGGAAGGGTTAGCAGCTACACCTGTGACTGGGGACCCCCCAGCCCCAGTGCCTTGGGACTCTGCTCTTGTCACGAGCTCCTGTACACCCCATGGTCCCTTCCTAGGGACAGGTCCACCTGCCCTGGTTACAGTTCTCATTCTGAGATCTTCACTATTTCTCAGGACGGGCTTTAGAATGACGGATTGCTGGGGTGCGAATGACAGAGTCCCTTAGACGACAGTACCCTGTGGTCAAATTACAGTCAAGCGCAATGCACAGTATGAGTTTCTAGGGCTGCCGTGATAAATTTCCACAAGCGGGAAATTAACTCTCTTGTAGTTCTGGGGTCCAGAAGTCCCAGATCAAGATGTCTGCAGGGTCCTCCTCTCACGAAGGCTCAAGGAGAGAATCTGTTCCTTGTCTTTCTCTCGGGTTCTAGTGTTGCTGGCAATCCTTGGTGTTCTGTGGTTTGCAGCTGCTAACTCCAACCTCTTCTGTCCTCATACGGCATTTGTCTCCTGTGTCTTTGTATCCTCTTCTTACATGGACACCAGTCATACTGGATTAAGGGTCTATCATACTCCAATGTAAATGCACCTAATTACATCTGCAGCGACCCAGCTTTTAAATAAAGTCATATTCTGAGATCCTGGGAGGTCAGGACTTTGACATTTTTTTTGCAGGGGCAGGGGGATACGATTCAATTCGTAACATGTACCCAACCAAATGGGCTGGAAGCTGAGACCTACCAGGAAAGTAGAGTCCCAGGATGAGAGCCCAGGCACCGGGTCTTCTAATCCCGGCCTCCCGGTAGCTGGCGGTGCTATTCATCAAGGGCCTAGACCTTTCTCGGTGTCTGTTTCCTCTGTAAAATGAGGGTTGAGTGAGATGTTCTGTAAGATCCCCTCTGGATCTAACAGTGTGGTTCTTCTCAAGGAACTGGTAACCCAGTCCAGGTGCTGTGGTCGGCATGCACAGTAACAATGAGCAAGGTGTCTAAGTTCCAGGTTTTGTAGCAACAGGATTTCATCGTCCTTCCCGACACTGACTGCTGCCTGGAGCACGGGGTTGATGGAAAAGGCCAGATCGGACAATACTTGCTGCAGGTCTTTGAAGGGGAGGTGGCACATGGATTTTTCCTGGCCTAGGAATTAGAATAGGGGAGGGATAAAAATGAACCACAGTTTTCAAGGAGGGCTGCGTGAGAAAGAGTAAGCAGTTAAGTGCTTACAGGAGTATTATTCCCTACTCTGTTTCCTCTCCTAGTTTGTATGTTTCTATTATGTCCTCCATTGCAGGGTAGTAAACTGGAATATCGGTTTGTGTCTCTCCCTCTCAGACTGAGCTCCCCAAGATGGGTCTCATGTTTCACATTTCTGCATTGCCTGGCCCTTAGTGGATGTTTAATGAAGGACAAATGGATGCACAGATAACAGGGACATTTTGGATAGATGGTAAAAGGGTAACCTAGGTAAAGTCTTAACCTATTTCAGGGTGATGTGTGTGTGTGTGTATATATGTATATGTGTATATATATATATATATATATATATATATATATATATATATATACACACATACCATAGTTTTGAAATTTTAATCTGTAATGTACCAGCCTGCACTGGTCAGGGAGCCATGCCTGGTTTTGCTGGACTGTTGATGCCAGGGACTCCTAGCTGGAGAAAACCACCTTAGAGATTAGGGCCACTGGTCTTCACAGTTCTTCCGTGTTACGTAGAGGGAGTTTTGTGTTTTAGAGAATGGAATTATGTCGGAGCTCCTCTCAAAGGTGCAGTTTTGCCTTCGAAGGGAGTGAGTGCCCCATGTTTTGATGAAGAGTCAGTCCTGACAAGGACTTACAAGCCTCTCTTCTGTTCCCCGTAGGGCATCAATTGAAGAGAAATATGGCAAGGATCTGCTCAACCTCTCTAGGAAGAAACCATGCGGACAGTCTGAGATCAAGTAGGTGCCACATTTCTTGCCGGTTTCCAGGTTGGCGCGTGCTGCCGGGAGCCCTGTCCCTTCAGCAGACAGAGCTGGCCGGTGGGGTGCGGTGTCTCCGATGGAAACAGTTTTTAATTATTTTTTTCCTTATTTCCAGCTGTGAAAAATATGGAAAAATAGAAAGAAGGTTAAAATGAACTGTGAAGCTAACAACCCATTATTAATATTTTCTAAGTTTTCCTTGAAGTCCCTTTCTATGTATACTTTTCCATAGGTGGAATTACACTACATATAATTTTAAACTAGAAATTTAATAGAGAGGCTTATATACACACATGCATACACCTGTACACACCTGTATACACGTACATAGTTTGTGAGAGCTGCAAGGGACTGTCTTTGCACTGTTTCATTGTGCTCACCACCAGGCTGGGATTTCTGCACAATTGTTTATTCTCCCATCATTCCTGGCTTCATGGGCAGTCAGTCACACAGGAACCTACCCTTAGAAAGGCTTCATACTTGGCTTAATGCTCTTTGCTGTCACCATTTTGAAATTCTAAATAATTTATAAATGAGGGGTCCCACATTTCATTTTGCAGTGGACCTCCCGAATTATGGAGCAGGTCCTACACATATGGACATTTCTAGATTCCTTCTCCCAAACAAGCATGTTGGCGGAGGCGGAGGTGGCTGGGAGAACTAGCTCAGACCAAACGCTGTAGGCAGGCCTCTGCAGAACCAGTCCCACTACATACTGACCTGCCCGCTGCTGTGGCTGGGCTGCGGGTAGCTGCAGGGGGGTCTGTGTCCTCTCAGAGGTCTGAAGGGGCGGGCAGGAGGGTGTCCTTCCTCTTCCATTTTCCTGCTTCTAAAACACATGCACCCATGCACTCCCAGACTTCGAAGTAATGAAAGGATGAAAACGTTGGGAGATGGTTAAAATAGTAATGGTTTACATAAGCCTAAAAATGTGTTACCCTCAGACACAGGACATTAGTACAAGGAGAATTGTGTTTTTGACCTATTGATTATATTTTGTTTTTGATGTTGTAAATGAAAAATTTCAAAACACTGAAAAGTAAGAAGAACATAAGGAGCCCATCACCTAGATTTCATAATTATCCACCTTTGCCATGTTTTCTTAATATAATTTCGTGCCTTTAAATTTAAACCTGGAATCAGCTATTTCTCAAAGTATACTTAGTTACTTTTAGTGATTAATCAATCGTGTTTAGAGATGAAACCTCAAGTTCATTGTCGCAGAGGTGTCCCTGTTTACAGGTCCTTTCGGGGGACAGAATTGAGAAGCATGAGTTCATACTGATACTTCTAATTCTAATTTCACTTTACAGGGTTTTACTTAACTTCTTTAATTTTATAATTATTTCTGCTTAAATGAAAAATCTAGGTTCTGACAATATTAGCATAATTATTTGCTTTATTCAACAATACATATCAAAAATTTTCAATATAATATCAATATTGCTATGAACAATAAAACTTGCTAGTAAAGTTTAACATTTCTTTGCAGTCCCTTTTGCTCATTGGCTATACTTCACTAAGAATACTGTGTTATAAAGTCACTTAAAGTACTTATTTTCTCTGTGTGATTATGTAACCAATTTCACATTAGTTAAATCTGTTTGTTTTAAATTTTAGGAATTCTTTCCTTTTTCCTGTTTGCTTTAGTTCTATTTTTGAATCTGTAAAACATTGACATGTCCACGGGTCAAAACTGCGGAGACCTGGACAAGTTACACGGTTGTCCCAGCAGGGTTTAGATCATTTCAAGAGAGACCAGGGGGTCAGCTGAACCCCACCTCCCACCCCCCCAAAAAAAACCTTTATTTATAAAATAAATAAGCTGTTTAGGAAAATATCCAGCACTTTTGAGGTGACTCGAGGGATACTAGCCACACTCTCTCACATAGCGCTTCTTGGGAAAGATCTTCAGCAGAAAGAGTCTGGTCCAGAATGGTATTTCTTACATTCTTACACATTTGGCTTGTAACTGAGTAAATTCATAGAGAGACTCCGGCACCGTTCTCTTCTGCTCCGTGACAGAAGCCGGTCGGTTTTCCTTCTAAGAGTGTACACCTCAGAGAGGAACATGCAACAGGATGCGAGACCTGGGCCATGTGTTGCCAAGGTTGAAGTGAAAGGCCATTTAGGTGACTTATGTTTTCATCACCTCCAGGATGATCTTTCGGAAGGTGCCCTACCTGAGAGTGAGTGACTTTGCTTATCCATGGGCTAGGTAGAATTTGTGGCCTCATTGGCCACCCTGAGGGACTCTGGCCTCTGGTGGGCCTTGTTAGGGTTTAGTAAGGCCAAAGTGCTTATTAAAAAGAGGGTGGTAGGCTGTTTCCTTTTTGCACAGTAATGAAGAACACCAGAGAGACAAGGAGGTGGCATTGCCAGGCCACCACCCCCAAAGTTAGGGTTCCTTCTCCCGATGGTCATCAAGTCCTGAACACAGGAAATAGCAAGTGATGACATGAGACAGTAAAGCTAATGACAAAGTAAAGGGACATTGGGGCTGCTCTTATAGTGGCCCCTCAGTCAGCCACTTAGAATGGGAGAATTTTAGACCCTGAACAGACTACCTGTAAGGGTAGATTTCTTTTTTTTAAGTATATTTTATTGATTATGCTATTACAGCTGTCCCAATATTGCCCCTTTGGCCCCTTCCACTCAGTGTCCCCCTTTCCCTCCAGCAGCCCTCTCCCTTGGTTCATGCCCATGGGCCGTGCATATAAGCGCTTCGGCTTCTCCATTTCCTATACTGTTCTTAACATCTTCCTGTCTGTTTTGTACTGACCAATTTGTACTTCTTCATCTCTGAACCATTTCCCCCATTCTTCCCCTTCCCTCTCCCCGCTGATAACCCTACTTGTAAACTCCATATCTATGGTTCTGTTCCTATTCTAGTTGTTTGCTTAGTTTGTCTTTGTTTTTTTTTCAGATTCAGTTGTTGATAGTTGTGAGTTTGTTGTCATTTTATTGTTCATAGTTTTGATCTTCTTTTTTTTAATAAGTCCCTTTAACATTTCATATGATAAGGGCTTGGTGATGATGAACTCCTTTAATTTTACCTTGTCTGGGAAGCACTTTATCTGCTCTTCCATTCTAAGTGATAGCTTTGCTAGATAGAGTAATATTGGATATAGGTCCTTGCCTTTCTTGACTTTGAATACTTCTTTCCAGTCCCTTCTTGCCTGCAAGGTTTCTTTTGAGAAGTTAGCTCATAGTCTAATGGGAACTCCTTTGTAGGTAACTGTCTCCTTTTCTCTGGCTGCTTTTAAGATTCTCTCTTTATCTTTAACCTTTGGCATTTTAATTACGATGTGTCTTCGTGTGGTTCTCTTTAGGTCCAGCTTGTTTGGGACTCTCTGTGCTTTCTGGACTTGTATGCCTATTTCCTTCACCAAATTAGGGCAGTTTTCTTTCATTATTTTTTCAAGTAAGTTTTCAATTTCTTAGTCTTCCTCTTTTTCTTCTGGCATCCCTATGATTCAGATGTTGCCACTTTTGGAGATGTCCCAGAGTTTTCTTATTCTCTCCTCTATTTTTTTTTTAAAATTCTTATTTCTTCATTCTGTTCTGATTAATTGTTGATTTCTTCTTTATGTTCCAAATCATTGATTTGAACCTCAGCTTCCTTCCCTTCACTGTTGGTTCCCTGTGGATTTTTCTTTATTTCATTTAGTGTAACCTTCATTGCTTCCCTTATGCTTTTGCCATACTCAGTGAGTTCTCTGAGCATCTTTATCACTAGTGTTTTGAACCCTGGATCTGATAGGTTGGCTATCTCCATTTCACTTAGTTACTTTTCTGGAGTTTTGTTCTATTCTTTCATTTGGGCCATATTTCTTTCTCTCCTCAATTTGGCAGCCTCCCTGTGTTTGTTCCTGTGTATCCGGTAGAGCTGCTTTGACTCCTTTGTCTTAGCACACCTGTTAAGTTGTAGGGGGCAGAGCTTTAGGTATTCACCAGTGTAGGGCAACCTGCTTCACCATTTTGTGGCTCTGTATGTGGAGGCGGGGTCAGAGAGGGCACACTGCCGCTACCTGGCTGCAGGAGGTTTGCTCAGCACTTGCCCTGTAAAATAACCTTTGTTAACATGAGGATTAAAATGCAAAACATGGGAATACCTTAAACTTTCAATTTGGGAACGGGAGTGCCTGTCCTCCTAGGGGGAGTACAGGCAGGCTGTTTCTCTTGGGAGGGGAAGCTGAAAGGGTGTGAAGGTAGATTCCATGGCTCTTGATAGGGCAAGACTTGCAGTTGCATCCACTGCCAGATCCATCTGTGTTCCTCACTAATTCCAGTAGTAAGTTTGCTCATCGGCGACGCTCATTCGTCCTTCTGGATGATTGGTGCATTTGTTTCGATATGACGACTTTCCTAGTTCACTGTGTTCTTTGAAAAATTGTATCATAAGATGGGTAAAGTGTACTGAGAAAGTGCAGTAATGTTTTTCTGCTGGGTGTGTTTGCAGTCATTGGAAATGTCTGTGCAAGAAAAGGAGGGAAGAATAAGAACCCTTTGTTTTGGGATAAATGAACAGAGCTGGAAATGTGAGGTAGCTAAAAGGGGCCTGCTGGAAAATACAAGGGTTTTTATTTTGCAAAATAGTAGAACTTGCTGCAAACATATGCACATGTAGAAGATGACCCATGGTCCTATGCTGTGTGACTAGGGGACTGTGAATTCTCAAAGTCCCATTTCTACTTCAGTGGCTGGCGTAGCCTAGGGAGCTCTGCTTCCATGAAGGCAGCAGTGAGCCACAAAATTCCCCGGGGCCAAGTTACCTCAGAAGGAGGTTTTCATAAAGTAGGATGGGGGAGAATTGAAACCGTGGCCAAAGGGGCGTGTAGAGAGGAAGAGCCATGGGCTATAAGAGAGAGGAAGGGGGAGACTGAATGAAGGTTTGAGTCATGGCCATCTCCACAGAAACTATGAGATAAACATGTATTGTTTTCAGCTGCTAAATTTGTTGTTGTTTGCTATTCAGCAGTAAGACACTAAAACAGAGTGCTTCATGTCTATCTCCTCCACTGGACTCTGAGGTCTGTCTCGTACCACTGAATCACCAACACCTAACACAATGCCTGGCCCACAGCTTATGCTTAATAAGGATGTGATGATTGATGAATGGGTAGAAAAGGAGGTGATTGGGAGCCTGAGTTTGAGGAAAATTAAGCATAAAACATTTTGGCATCTTGCTCTACCCAGGTGGACAGAGAAGAATTTGTGATGAGTGTGCCTGGGATTGAGAGTGTAAGAAAGAGGAAACTGGACTGAAGAAGTCTGGGTCTTTTGCTGTCTTCTCAAGCTCAGGGGCCAAGATGAGTCTATAGGCTCTAAGTTACGGACCAAGAGATGCATGCAATGGCATTCTAGTAAGATTGTACGATTTCCAGAACTTGAAATTATACATGTACTTATTTTTCAGCACCCTGAAGCAGGCCCTGGAAGTCTTCAAGCAGAGTAAGTGATTTGTGATTCTTTAAAAATGTATTTGCTGTCCTTGGCAAGCTCTGTGTCGGTCATTAAAGGTGGGTTTTCATTGCAACGGCAATCTCGCGTTGGGTGCAAAAAATGAAAGCAACTCCTAAGGTGAGAAATAGCTCTGCAGAGATGAAGGGAGCTGGAGAGCCCTCCACGCCTGCCTATCAGGACACGCGTTTGGCTTCCTCACAGCCGCGGTTCTCACACTTGACGTCCAGCGTGAGGCCCCAGCACTGTGGTCTTCAAGGGGTCCTGTCCAGTTCTAATATTCCTCGGGCTTGTTGCTCAGAAACTCCCTTTAGAGCTTTCTGTTCTTCAGAGTACTTAATGCTTCCAAGCTGAGGATTTTACCAACACATAGTATGTGCATGTGCTTGAAGTGTTTCTGTAGGCAATGGACTGGCTCCAGACCTTTGTAATGGTTAGCTAGATAAACATTCATCTCGACTTTTCCAGAGAAGGTGTTCTCTTCCCTCTTTAACTCATAAATGAATACATTCCTCAAGATAGGGACAGTATCTTTCCATTTTCTTGTATGCATGTAAGGCCAACTGTGCTGTGGCCCAAGGGGACTTCAGCACAGGCTGGATCTCCTAAATATATATATATATGTATGTATGTGTGTGTGTGTGTGTGTGTGTGTGTGTGTGTAAGATTTTTATTTGTTTTCAGAGAAAGGGAGGGAGAAAGAGAGGGAGAGAAACATCAGTGTGTGGTTGCCTCTCGTGCGCCCCAACTGGGGACTTGGCCCACAACCCAGGCACATGCCCTGACTGGGAATCCAACTGGCAAGCCTTTGGTTAGCAGGCTAGCACTCAATCCACCAAGCCACACCGGCCAGGGGTCCTTATACTTGGTGTTACTTTACTTGTTGTCTTTTTTTTCTAATAAGTAGTTTCATTTTCTTATTTAAAATGTATTAAAAATTCAAATGAGACAGCTAACTGTGAAGAAGACAATAAATACGAGTTTTCATATGTAGGTCTTATTTATTGTTTCTGTTTTCATTCTTTTTGCAGAAGTGGAAAGTGTAGCCCAATGCCACATTCAGCTTGCACAGACCCTAAGAGAAGAGGCCAGGAAGATAGAAGAATTCAGGGAAAGGCAAAAGCTACAACGGAAAAAGGTTGGGTTTGCATGAGTGTTACCACGTTGCCTTTCTGATGCCTTTCTCCAGGCTTGCTTGGGTCCCGACCTTGTGTACCCAGACTCTTCTTTTAGCCTCAGAGATCATTTATTGGAGAACCGTGTGGAGATGCATGGTTCTGTGTCCACTTACACCCCAGGCCAGTTCTTTTTTAATTTTTGATGAATTCAGGGGTCCAACCTGCTTTCCTCCTCTTTTCATACCTGTTACCACTATTGAAACTCTGACTGGGAAGGGGAATCCTTCTTTCTTCAGTAGAGCCCAGCAAGCCAAGCTGGCGGGCTCCCAGACCACACTCCCCGTCCTGGGCAAGCCAGTAAGGGGAGGGTGAGAAGTGGAGGAGACTCACATTCTCCTCGGAGACCATGGTGTAGCCCAGCCTCCCTATTTTACAAATAGGGAACCCAAGGCCCTGGGAAATCCAAGTTCTTTTTGTCTTCAAAGCCGATGTGTATAAGCTCTTTTCCATCAATGGGACTCACTTTGGCCAACTGCATGGGAGGAGGTGGGTGTGAGCAAATTAATAAAGCTGCAAACATTTGGGAAATTATAAAGATCAAGTGCTACTGAGACTAGACCAGCCACTATTCTGACTCCCTTCTATTTGGTTCCTAAAGGACTTGTATATTCAGGTTGGCCTGGCAGCCAAGTAGGGCCCTCCCAGAATTTCTTTCTTTTTTAATATCTGGTCTCCGAGGCTGGAACCTAGCTTCCCATGGGAACAAGCCCCAGATCCCCCTACCCCCCACCCCACCGTCTGGCATCCAAAGATGTCCATTCAGGTCTCCACAGACAGCTCTGCATGGACTTTTTGGAAACCTTTCTTCATCCTGACCAGACCAAGGTCACTGTTGGCAGTGTGCGTTGAGGTTGATGCTACCCAAACTTAAATCTCAGCAGCTTAGCCTGTGGTTCTACATCAGTCTGTCTCAGCTTCTTTGGTGGCCAGTTGACATTTGGAGTGGGTGGCAGCATCTTAAGAGATTCATCATTTCCTGAGAAGCTCTTACAGCTGTGCCTCTTACTAGGAAGGAAGGCTGGAAACCAACATTTAAGGAACCACCGTATCAAGCACTTTCCTGCAAATTCAAGCTTCATGTCCCGGGTCTTAGGGCTCCATCTGGCCCAAAGTAGTTTTCAGAGCAGAAGTAGCGCATGTATTCCACCCACCCACAGGATGGGTAGATGTTTGGGGCCGACATTGCCTGTCCTGTCCACCTCTTCAGAGGAATTACAAATTTTGAGAAGCTTGCCTTAGACAAGTGAGGTCTCTGTACACATGATTTCCACTAACAGAACGGGAGGGGCATTTCCTCACATTTTCATGTGCTCTGGGTAACCCTGGTCATTTCAAAGACAGTTTTGTTCGTTTTGCAAGGCTTCCGAAACTTCCCCTCGTAACTAGTTACAAAGACCAAATTTTCATAGCCAGAGGACTGTGTTCTGAATTCTGTTACAAAATGGGGCAGCCTGCGTGAGACCCGGCGCTGCCATCCAAGTTTCCCGCACACCCTAGCAGTGCCCTCTGCATAGCAGGAAAATGCCTTCTCAGCTTCCTGGGAGAAGTCCGACGTTTATAAATATACTTGTAACTACTCATATCCCAGTGAACTCTGGGTTGTCCCACTTCTGAGTGTGGGTACTTGAAAAAAAATTCAAACTTCAAGGGAAAATGTGTCAATGCTAACTTCTCATTTCCATTGGTCAAACCTTGAACACTTCGGTGTTTCACTTCTTGGAAATTAAGCCATTTCCACTTATCAACAAAAGCCATCAGTTGGTTTCTGTTTTTAAACAGGGGCAGGGAAGTGCATGTACAATGCTGGGCAGACGTTTTTGGGTCCTGACTCACGCAGTGAGTGCTCCCTGAGGGTGCTGGACAATGTGGGCGTGGTCGTCGTTCCCTCACCGAGTGTAGAGCGTGGCTGGAGGGACTGATGTGACAGGAATCACGATAAAGCGTGATGAGCCTTAAATGGTAGGGGAGGTCACGGTGTCACCGGAACACACAGCGGGGACACCTGACCTAATCGGTGGGGCTGGGGAGGCCTCCTAGAGGAAGTGACCTTGAAGCGAAAACCAACAGAGGGGAAGGCTGTCACCTGTATTAGGTGAGGGTGGCCAGAGACGAGGCTGTCACTCCTGGCGGTTGGCAGGTAGGGTGGGGTCCGTGGGGCTCTTCTCGGGAGTCTTGATATTTCAGGACACTGAGGTTGCTTCCCCAACCCAGAACGTCCAAAGCCCGATGGAGACAGCATGTGGTCAGCTACGCTCTCCTCTGGTCCCCACGTGGTTTTGCCAGGTCAGCTAAGATTGGAATGATCATGGCAGAACCTTGTTCTGCCTGCGAAGAGAGCATCCTCCGAAGCAAGGAACCTCTGTGGTTACGGAGAGCGACACTTCTGGTTTTCAGAATACAGTCCGGGTGGGGTGACAAACAGGTCACTAAGCAGCTATTTACATAGCGAGGGGAAGGTCATTGGCGTCACTTAATATCTCTTCTTCCTTCCCTCTTCCTTCTCCCCACCCTAGAGCAGGGATGATTGTGTTTTTGCACTACTTCCTGTTATCAGTAATAAAACAATCAAATTTCCGTTGAATTTGGTCTGAGTGGAAAGTCTGAGTCCTAAAAGAAGCTCTTCCCAAGGAGACCTGAAGGAGAACCCTTGACTTCATGGGGCCTCCACGAGTGGGGTCACCCTACAAGTGACCTTTGGACATGAGGACGCTTAAATCAAGGTGGTGTAGCAGACAGAGCAGGTGTTGGTGTCACTGAGTGGCCTTGAGTGTGACCTGTTGGGCTCCAGGGGTCCCATCAGCCAGGTGAGAGAGTAGGACTGCTGCTCTCCAGGATCCTGCTGGTGTACAAATGCCCGGAATCCTTGATGGCAGATACAGGAATCGCATCAGGTTTGGCTCATAGAACTTTGTAGCCACCAGAGAGGTGCTGAGGCAGGTGTTACGTAGAACCCAGGGACAGGGAGGCCTGGCTTGGGCCATCAACTATAAAATAGCTGCAGCTCCCAAACTGGAAGAATGGCAGCGTGTATCTTTGCACTAAAAAGGCCCTTGGAATAGACCAATGGTGCTAACTGATTTGCCCCATGGAGCCTGGGAAACTCAGGAACCCTTATTAAATAAATAGACCTAGCTCCTCCTCTTAGCAGAGGCACATCAGGGGGCCTGTGAACCACACAGCTCCCAGCCTGCAAGGGCAAGGATCTGCCCAGGAGTCCTTCCGTGTGGGGATCATGTGGGGGCCCTGTCTGTTCTCTCTGCCTGTTGTATTCTCACCACGAGTGGGTGCATGACTACTCCCGGTCCCCCACCCTGTTCAGCTGGGCTGGAAGATGATGCCTCAGTTCTCTGAGGGCCTTCTGGGTCTCCCCCAAGGGAAGTTCTTGTATTCCACGAAGTTCATATTTAAAGCAAGACCATCCTAAATATTCTACCCAGATATCTTGAAAATCTTTGTGTGTAACAATGACAGAAACTTTGCTTTCTAGAAGAGAAACCACATTTGAGTTTCATTTTCAATACTATTTTGTATAAGAGCAAGGTCACAGCTTGTTTTTGAATGATTATATCTCTTGGTCTTCTATGTACCCATTTGCTTTTATAGAGCTACCATAAGGAAATGGTAGTTTTAGGGTCATAATCAGGAACAAGGGTACAAGCATCAGATTTCTGGGTTCAAATCTCAGCTCTACTACTTGCTGTGTGTTAGTTACCTTTGGTAAATTAATCCATTCCAGTTTATCATCAAGAAAATGGGAATAAGAGTATTAGGTTATTGTGATGCATGAAAACTGCTTAGCACATAATAATGTTTGATAAAGGGGAACTACTATTATGTCTGAGGTATGTTTTTATTATTAGCTGCGTTACTTTGACTAGTAAGTGTATTCAGGGCTCAGCCACAACAAAGAAATTGCTCCCAAGCGAACTCAACAGAGTAGCTTGCCTTTCCTGGGTTCAGTGGAGTGAAGAGTCGGATGGAGAACAGCTGCTGGTAGCGGTCCTACCCACATTTCTGCCCCTCATCCTGCCGGGGCGTCTTGCTGGTTACGAGTGTGACATTGATGGATGCTGCGGAAGTGAATGCCTCTAAGTCTCTAATTTCACTGTGCTGACACAAGCTTAGAGTAAAAAGACCCCTTTTAAATTATAAGTGGCACTTGAACAAAAGTTTAAATTGTCCTTTTTGACACTAAAGTTCCTCCAGATTCCAGATTTGCTGAAGAGACTGACTGGTCTGTGGTGATCAGTGATCTTCAGTGGCGGCTGCCCAAGTTCAAAGATGGACCCCACCATTAACCAGCCGTAGGACCTTGGGGAAATTGGTCCGCCTCTTTGCTACAGTTTCCTCATTTGTGAAATGGGAATGATCAGTAGTACATCTACCTTCTGGGTTGTGTGAGGGCTCAGTGAGATAATCCATCTTGACCACTTTGCCCTCAAGATAAGATGGTATTAGCAACCATTTCTGTTTTTATTGTTAATGGTGCTTGTGTTCTCTTCACAGACAGAGGTTGTAATGGAGGCTGTCCATAAACAAAGGAGCCTACAGTTCAAGAAAACCATGGATGTGAGTTTCACTTTATTGCCCTTTTCTGAAATCCTGTGTTGTATTTGAGCATATCCCTGCTTAAATAACATTTCAATGTTATTTATTAGTGCAGTGATTTTTTAAATGAGTTGACTTTCCTTCTTTTTAAGGCCTTGGAGATATTGGGGATGAAACTAGTGGGAACACAGTGATATTATCTTTGTGGTAACCTGGAAAAGTATAGCAAGTTAATTTAAATATTTCAAGCCAAGACACAAAATTATATATACCATATCATGCCATTTATCTTGTTGGATTTGAGCTTTCTCCCTGTGACTATTCTGAAGCTTGATTTCTTCACTCATTTTATTGAGTGACTCCTTTCTGTTTTAAGATAGCTGCTAATTGTAAAAGCCTTTTTTACTTTAACTTATTTTAAAAAATCTTAACAGGACAGAGCTAAGACAGATTGCTAGGGACCTCACACTTGCTTTTCATGAATCTGTTAACTTTGGATACAATGAATTCTGATATTACAACATCTGTGGCTCCATCTTTGCCCAGAAGTATCATCATGATATTCTATGACTATGATGTGATATTTTGTGACCTAGTCAAAAAAGAAAAAATCACCAATGTTAATGCCAATATGCAATCTGTTCTCTGCCATTTTTTCCTTTGATGCAAATCACCTCAAAAGCAATTGACAAATAGGGAATGATGTCAGTTAAATGCAGAAATTGTGTTGATTGATAAGTGATTGGTCCCAGACCTTTTATTTTTTGAACAACCTTGGCCAAGCTTTCTCTCAATGAGAGAGAAAGACTTATTCAGATATAATTTTAAAACTATTTCCTTGCCATACATTTGGAGCTACGTAAGTGTTATAATAATTTTGCTTCCGCTGTCAAAAATAATTTAGAAAACTCAAGAGAAGGAAAAAACTATTTGTTACCCACTTTTTGCTTACTGTGTTTTTTTCCTTCTGATGTTCTAAGTTTTCTTCTGTTACAATTTTCTTTAGGTAACTCCCTTTAGCTATCCATCAAGATAGGTCTACTAGTGAAAAATACACTTAGTTTTCCTTCATATGAAGATACCTTGATTTCACTTTAATTCTTAAAGGATATTTTCACTGGCTATAGGATTATGTTGACAGTTCCTTTCTTTCAGTACTTGAAAAATGCTGTACTACTTCCTCATGGCCTCCTGAATAACTGAGTAAAAATGACACCATAAAATAAAAAAATTCACTGTCAATCAAATTGATTTTTCCTTTTGTTTTTAGTTTTCACAAGTTTATCCATGTGTTTTGTTATGGATTTGTTTGGGTTTATCTTGTTTGGAATTTGAATCAGTTCCTTAAATCCATCTGTTGCCAAATTCGGAAAGACATTTTGAAAATTATTTCTCTGAGAACTTTTTCAGCCCACCCTCTTTCTCTCCTGGGATTCTAAGGATGTGAGTGTTAGATCTTTTTTTAAATAGTGCCAAAGGTCCTTGTGTCTCTGTTTATTTTTTTCTACCTATTTTCTCTTTCTTGTTCAGATTAGGTAATTTATATTGTTCTATCTTCCAGCTCACCACTTCTTCCTTCTGTCTCTTCCCTTCTCTTCTTAAGCCCATCCATTGAGTTTTAAAATTTCAATTATTAGCCTTGGGTGGTGTGGCTCAACAGATTGAGCACTGGCCTTCGAACTGAAAGGTTGCTGTGTTCAGTTCCCAGGCAGGGTACATGCCTGGGTTGTGGGCAGGGTCCCCAGTTGGGGGCGGGCATGTGAGGGGCAACCAACTAATGTTTCTTTCCCTCTCTTTCTCCCTCCCTTCCCCGATCTCTAAAAATAAATAAATAAAATCTTTAAAAATTTTAGTTCTTACATTTTGTCAATTATAAAATTTCCATTTGGTTCTACGTAGCTTCTGTTTCTTTGCTGATATTTTCTATTTCTTTACAAGGCACTATATTTTTATTTGTTTCAGCTGTGTTTGTAATTGCCCACTGAGCGTTTTTATGATGGCTGCTTTAAAATCTGTCAGATAATTCTAACATCTCTGTCATTTGGGTTTGGCATCTATTGATGGTCTTTTTCATCCACTTTGAGATCTTGGCTCTTCATATGACGAGTGATATTCCATTGATTGAGGAAATGTAGGTGTTGTTAGAAGACTGTGGGTCTTTTTTAAGCCTTCTGTTTTAGCTGGCTTCCTTTGACACCACTCCATCAGGGGGAGGTGAGCACTGCCTCATTCATTGTTGCTGCATGGGGGCAAAACTCTAAGTACCCACAGGATGGGTGTGGCCTTGTTACCACTTGGAGGTGGTTAAAATCCTGACTCTCCGCTGGACCTCCTCTGACAGCACCCCAGCAGGGAAGGGTGGAAGTCCAGGTTCCCTACCTAGTTTCCACTGGCATTGCATGTGGGGCTTTGATGACTTCCAGTGAAATGAAAGTCCCAGTTCCCTATTTGGCCTTCTCTGACACCGCCCGCATATGGGAGTTGGGCACTTCCCTATAGTTTCGTGAGGGTGGAGGTCTAGACTCCACACTTGGTCTTTGCTGGTTGTGGGGGTGGAGCCACAGTTTTTTGGTGTGGTGTTTGGCTGCAGTAGAAGTAGTTTTTCCTAAAGAAGTCTGTCCTGCTAGGCTGCTTATTTTCTGGTCTTTTGGCTAGAGAGAGCAAAGTGTTGTTGGGACTTTTTTTTTGGTCAATATCCATTGGCATTGCTTGGTCGCTTCCTTCTTTGGCTCAGTCTGTGATATGTGAGGCTACAGGAAAACCCAGGGTGCTCACTTCTGGGTTGCTCTTGTGAGACCAAGGTCATTAGCCAGTCTGCCTTTCCCAGGGTCTTACATAACCCTTTAAAGAAAGTATTTTGTGATATTTTCAGCCGTAAATATGATCATAGCACATTAATCTTATGCTAAGAATATAATACTCTGTCTTCAGGAAATCAACAAAGGTATGAACTTGTTCAGTACTTATAATGAAGATTGTAAATGATTTAGTGGCCAAAAAATGGAAAGATTGATTTTGTAACCCTTAAAAATATGTTTATGAGCACTATGTAGCAACAGAGAAAAATGGTTAATATGTCATATTAAAAAATAATGCAGATAGAGAAGGATTGATCACTGACAACATTAACCTCTAAGACTTCTCTAGAATGAAGGAAAAAATGTGTCATCTTATCCATGGCTTTAAGACAGATGACTAATGGGAAAATACTTGTGACTTATACAGCCAGTTAGTATTCCTATTCTAGACTGAGCTCTTAAAAGCCAACTAAAATAAAAAATGCTCCAGTGGAAAAGTAGGTAAAAGACATGCTGTAGAAAGGACATACCACCTTAGCAGTAATGAAATAAATAGAAATAAAACAACAATATACCAACATTCTCACCTCTAGCATTAGAAAAGATTAAAAGATTGTCTAAACTTGGTGTTGGTGAGAATACACTTTTGGTAGGAGTATAAATTTGTTCAGCTTTTTCAGAGGGAGGTCTGATATAGTACATACTGTTTTACCAAACAATTATGCTTCTAGGAATTTGACTTGTATGGATAAATTCACACTACCCAGAATAAAGTCAGAATATTTTTATGTCACAAAAAATGGAAAATAAGATAAATGTCGACCATAGAGTTGGTAAAAAAAAATTATGGTGTGTGTTTATTTACAACTATTAAAAGTGTTTGGCAATAGAACCTGTGTTTGATAGAGACATCTCTATAATATACTGTTGCAAAAGAAAAGAATTATTGCATGAATACCTTAGGTACTTGTAATAATGAAAAGTTAACAAAATTTTATTTCTATGTATGTGTAGCATAGAGAGAGAGTTGAAAGGCTGTTTACTGAAAGGTTAACCCCAGTTGAATTGTGAAGGATGCTGAGAAATCTAGGGAAGCATATGAAATATTTAATGAGCACAAACCATCTCTGCAAGAGTCTTCAATCTTTTGATTTTTTTTTTTTGGTTACCACTTTTGCTTCTTAGCTAACTGATTTACATCTTTTCTTTGTTTACACAAGCTAAAACTTTGGTTCAGTAGTTGAAACAGAAAATTAATTGGTTCACTACCAAATTTTTGTGAACTGTTTCCATACTACTGGCCTGCCTTTATTTTTTTTTTTAAGGATTTCACTTATTTATTTTTAGAGCGAGGGGAAGGGAGGGAGAGAGACAGGGAGAGAAACATCAGCATGAGAGAGAAACATTGATCGGTTGCCTCTCATATGCGCCCCGTCCATCCGGGGACCGAACCCCGCCACCCAGGCATGTGCCCTGATCAGGAGTCCAACCAGCAACCCTTTGCTTTGTGGGACAACGTCCAACCAACTGAGTTATACCAGTCAGGGCTACTAGCCTACTTTTAAATGAGTTAAAACAGAATTCTTTAAATCAAAAAGGAACATGCCCATTCTTAAGCAACAGATATGATTGATGCCACTGTCCAGTGTGCAATAGTGAGACACATTCGAATATTGAAGCATAATTATAATTACCATGACCAAGCAATTGCACCTACGTTCTGAGGATTGTGAATGTTGGATTACATATTTCATAGTTACATAGGTCTTGTGATTTTTTTTTCATCTGAAATGCCATCTTTTGCTCCGGTCAGCTTTTGAAGCTCACATAATACTTTGCCGAATAGGACTCATTATTTCCTTGATCAGGCTGCCACTGCATACATACTTTGGCAAAGGGCTAAAGAGACCTACCAAAGGCAGATAAGAAAGAGTGTCTGTCTTCTGAGTGGCCACATTCCAGCGGTGATCGCAGCCCTGTGCAGGGCGCCTGCCCTGTCTTCCGCTGGACTTGGCAGGCTGCGTGGCTGCTTTTCAGGGCTGTGTTCTGCTCACCTAATGTGGTCCTCTTTTGGCGCATGACAACCAAGGCAAAGAAGAACTATGAGCAGAAATGCCGAGACAAAGATGACGCAGAGCAGGCTGTCCACCGCAGTGCCAACCTGGTCAACCCGAAGCAACAAGAAAAGGTACCCGGGAGGGCTGATCAGCTGAAACATCTGAGATTTGCTATATTAAGCTAAAACCAATTAATAATCTTAATTTAAAATAGACCTGCAGCCTAAGCTTCTCGCAATATCTTTCTTTAGGCTGTGGGGATCCTCTGAACCAGAAAAACCCTTGTCACGTTTTGGGGGTGGTGGAAGAGCTCGGGAAAAGAGGCTGTGGGGGAGGGAATGGGGTGATAAGTTGGGGAAAGGTCTGTTTTGTTTTGTTTTGTTTTGATCTTTCTTCAAACTCAACTCATGTATTCTTTGGAGCCAGGCTGCCTCCTGCTTGGGTGTATTATAAATTTAATTTTATAAAATCTGGGTATAAGATTGCCAGCAATCAGAAGGCAGAGGTATGCCTTTAGGATGACCTAGGGCAAGATGCTTGGTGGATAGTTTTCGATCGCGGTAAGATTAGAAGGCAAGGTGAATGATTTACTGACGAGGGAAACAGAAGACTTGCACTGGCACTTGTCTCTTCACAGTCATTGTCTCTGGGTCTGCTTTGCCTATGGAATCCTGGCCCAGTGTGACTGAGCCCCTGTTCTCTTTTGTCCCCGCAGCTTTTTGTGAAACTGGCATCTGCGAAGACGGCACTCGAGGACTCCGGTGAGGGGGCTCCCAGAGATGGGGGGAGGGTTGCCGTGGGGCTTACATTATCCTAAATCTGCCTGACAAAGGTAGCTTGGTACACCCTACAATGTAGACTGTAAGGATGTACAATCGGATTTCAGGAAGGAGAAACAGGGAGGAAGTGAGGAAGGGAGGGAGGGAAACTGCATGGAAGCAAATGAGGCCGCAGTTTCCGGCCCCTGCCTGCTTAGTCTCGCAGCCTCACGTGTATAGAGTGGTGGTGGCAGAGCCATATGGCAGCTGCTTTTTAATCAGGGACTCACTCTTTTTTTGGAACATTTATTTTAAAAGTCCGTTTCAGCCCAGATTAACTCTTATCTGCTATGAAAGAAACAACCGAGTAGCAAAGCCTTGTCACCATTGAAATCTAAGATCCAAACCAGGTGTTTGCAAAGGCATTTAACTCCCAGACTATCCTGCAAAAAATAAACCTCCCACGACCATGGTCACTTAGGAAGTCTCTAAGTCCCAAGCTCAAGTAACTGGTGCCCTTGAGCGCCCGAGATAGTTCTCAGAATCTCTCATGGGATAACTTTCCTGAAAAGGGGTGGAAGCTGTTGAGGTCGAATCAGACGAAGAACATCCTGGCCAGGGTGTCTCGCCTGCTTTCACTTCTCCTTCCTTGGATCATTTCCTGCTAATCGTTTGGTTCAGTTCTTATTTCACGAAGGTATTATGAGAGTGAAAGATGTAATTACGGCCCTGCAACACTCAGGGCTCACGGAGTCATATGAGCTCACTGCGAGTTTCACTTGCCATCCGGGGTGAGCCTGAGGGGTGGGTCTGCGATCTGCCCACCTGAATCCTCCGTTTCTGAATCCAAGCCCCTCTCCACCATTGCAGACAAGACATATATGATACAGGTCAATACGCTGGATAAGATCCGAGAAGAGTGGCAGAGCGAGCACATCAAGGCCTGTGAGGTAACCAGAAGTGGGAGTTGCTGGGGGCGGGGGAGGGGGGCGGTCTTCCTTGTTTTTCCCTGAACCTCATTTTCTGTCTCCTCCCTGTCCTGACCGCGCTGTCCAACTCTGTTCGAGGTTTACCTCTAATGCTCAGTTAGCACAGGCATGAAACAGATGAACCCGTTAATGGTTAATGAAGTAATTACCTTCAGGGGGCTCACCTACACTAGGTATGGGCTAAGGAAAATGCAGACAGCAGGTGAGCAGGCTTTAGAATATGTTACCCCCCTAATACCTTTGATTTCATGATTGTTCCCCGGCATTTTCAGTACATGATATCATTTACAATTTCCTGGGAACTTCCTCAATTTTCTGCCACCCTCTCTACACATGTTCTTATCAGTGGTTCTCAAAGCAATGTCCCAAGACCTGTAGCATTAGCATCACCTGGGAACTTGTCAGAGACTCATATTCTCAGACCAACTCCGCACCTGTTGGGTCAGAAATCCTGGGAGTGGGCCCAGTAACCTCTGTGTGATTCCGATGCGATTCAAACAAGAGGACTACTGGTCTACTCACACTTCTTCCCCTCTTTTCTCCTGATACAGTACAAAAGGGGCAGCTCCTGTCCTATCAAGATCTTCTCCGCCCACCTGGCCTCAGGATCGCATGCAGCTGCCTTTCCCCCATTGCCCTGTGCACAGCAGCTCCCTTTCATGGGGCGTTCTTCCATTATCGTGTACACAAACTCAGCTCATTCGTGGCATTAACACCTAGCAGCTATTGCTTCCCATCTGCTACCTGCTCCTCTTTTCAGCCAGGCTTCTTGAAGGAGCTGTCTGCACATCCTCCTTGCCCCTGCCTGCCCCAGCCTGCTGTGTGTGGGGCTTGCTCCCCTGCCTCTGCTCTCTCAGCGGAAGCAGTGATCCCCTTAGTGTGAAGTCCAGTGGACCTTTGCAGTTTGTAATCTTATTTGACCTGTCTTTACCATCTGATACTCTGGGTCACTATCTCCCTCCTAAAACATTCTTTTTGCTTTACTTCCTTATCCCCACACTCTCATGGAAATGCCTGGAATAAAGCCATTTCTATAGGGTTTCAGAACATGTAAAAGAATACGATATACATCTTATGGATACATACATATTATAAAAACCTGCATGGGAATGATAACGTTTAGGACAATGGTTATCTCATTGGTTACCTCAATGGTTATTTAGGACAATGGGGAAGCAGCAAGGTGGCAGAGATTGGGGAAAGCACACAGGAGCTTTAACAGAATCAGAAGGAAATATAGAAAAAATCTTTGACAAAGCTGGGTGGGGGGTACATGGGAATTCACTATACCACTCTCTCTACTCTTGTGTATGTTTGAAATTTTACATTATAAAAAGTTTTAAAATGTAATATGGTTGTATTCAATACTTTTAAAAATACATTAACATATAACATTCACTGTTGAATAGAATAGCATCTACTTTATAGAATAGCTTGATTTTCCAAAAGTTGATATTTACTTGTTTATATAAAAAAACTGTTGTTTAGGCAGTAACTTAAAAAACTTTTAATTGAGACAAATTTCAGACATACAAAGATGAGAAGACAAGCGCAAGGACCCCCCTGTACTCATCAACTGGCATCCACAGCTATGACCATCTTCCCAATCGAATTTGTTCATTGCTGTATGTGTGGGGTGGGGAGCAGGGTTTTGAACCAGAGGCTCCGGCCGGCTGCCTTGGTGGAGATGCCCCTAAGGAAGCTGGAAATGCGAGCTGGAGTTCAGGGCAGAACCTGGGTGTCTGGGCTCATCATCGCCTCTTGCCCTCAGAATTGTATCCCCTTCTGTTTGTGTGAATCCGGTATTAGAATCCACTTGCATTCTTTGCCTGCTGTAAGAGTTTATGAGCTTCCTTGATGGTGAGGGGAGTACCCTAAATGGACCATAAACTCGCATAATTGGAGGGTGACACTGTTTCTTAAGACGTAGCCAGTCTAGACAAATGGCCTCTTCCTCTGCATATGTATTTATGTATGGTTATGTTTCTCTAGGTGTTTGAAGCTCAAGAATATGAACGAATAAACTTCTTTCGGAACTCATTGTGGTCACACATGAATCACCTGTCGAAACAATGTGTCACCAGTGATGACGTAAGTCAGAGGCATCTGTGGAGGATTCATGAGAGTGGAAGGAACTGTAGACGTTTATTAGTTCTCCCCTCTCATTTGAGGCCCAGAGAGATACAGAGACTCGCTGAGGGCCACACAGTTGATAGAAGGAGCCATATAAGCACCTAACCTGCCTGACTCCTGGTCTAGTTTACCACCGTGCTTTTCTCTTTAAGAAATTCAGAGCAGGAGGACAGAGAGGGAGACTCCAAAACAGTTCAATCTCTGGACTACAGAGTTGTTGCAGCATGAATGTGAGTCCCAGAGGGTCGGTCACTCCAGGACAGCACCAAGAACTAGCAGACTGGCCCTTGACCAGGCTAGTGGTCACTCCAGGGTTCAAGAGTTTACTTCATTGGCATTCCTGGGACCATTATCTAGGTTTAATTTGTGCACAGCAATCCTTGTGGGGTTCCTGGGTCCCAGAGGGACCAGAATCAAGTCATCACAGTCTTCTGTGCTAAGAAATAGCCACCCTCACTTAGATGAGACATTCACTCTAGAAGAACAATTAAGCACCAAGAAAACCTGTAGGATTGAATGGAAGAACTTGTCTCCAAGTGATTGTCTCTGTGTTTGTGTGTGGCCTTGGTCTTGGGACTTGGTATCTATTTACTTTACTTTTAATGAGCCGTGTCACCTGGGTTACGGCCCCCCCCACCTTGATGTCTCTTCTTTTTGTTAGATGTATGAACAAGTCCGCAAGAGTTTAGAAATGTGCAGCATTGAGAAGGACATTGAGTACTTTGTGACTCAACGGAAAACGGGACAGACTCCACCAGGTGAGTGGAGTGGTGGGTGGGCGGGGGTCGGTTTATGTAAGTGATCCTATTAGTCTTTCTTGTCGTATGTTGTTGACAGTAGAAGATACCTGCTGGTTCATGTTTCATTTCTTGATGATTCCCCTAGCACCCATCATGTACGAGAATTTCTACTGCCCCCAGAAGAATGCAGCCCCACAAGGAAAGGCTACAGGGCCGACCTTGCCAAGGTAATGACCAGCTTTCTTTCTCATGCAGAAAAATACTTTTAATAAACATTATTTATCATTAGTGTTCTATGACATTACAATGGAAACATAGCTACCACTGCATTTGCTTGGGGAGGTTGCTAGATTTTTGGAAATAGCGATTTTAGGACAAATGTGAAATGGATTTTACTGGTCCGAGTTTGAGGAGGACATTATCACTATCATGCCTGCATATGGATGTTATTCCTCACGCATGAGCCCTATACCTTCCTCGTAGCCTGTGGGGAGCAGGAGTCAGCAAACTCTGATCTGCCTGTTTTGATAGGGCCTGTGAGTATTTTAACGGTTGGGAAAAAAATGGAAAGAATACTATCTTGTGAAGTGAAAATTACATGAAATTAAAATTTCGGTGTTTGTACATGAAGTCTTATGAAAACGTGACCACACTCCTTTTTTTACATTCTATCTGTGGCTGCTTTTATACTGGTGTTGACTGGAGTCACAGCAGACGTGATATGTGGCCAGCAAGCCTAAGTCATTCACCAGGTGGCTCTTCACAGAAGAGTTTGATGCCCCTGACATAAAAGAGCCTGAGAGAAGAGGACCTTTCATTTTATATACAGCCACCTTGGAGTCTAGGCTGTTCAATTTTCAGTCCAGTCATTAGAAAGATAATGGGTGTTTGGTGGGGAAGGCATGATCATCACCAGTGTTTAAGAATGCCAGGCACTGTTCAAAACAGCTCCTATGAATTAGCTCGTTTAATCCTCATAGTGAGGTAGGAGCTGTGGCACTTCCCATTTTGCCTGTGAACGTGCGATGTACAAGGAGGTCAGGAAATCTTGCCCACGCAGCTGAGACGTCCCCGCTGCCAGTCTGGGTCGCGGGGGAAGGGCTCTGTGCTCCCTACCACGTGCCTCTTGCTCCTCAGTGCAACAGGGTGTCTGAAGGCCTTTGGCCTCGTCTGAACTTTTTTTTTTAAAGATTTTATGTATTTATTTATTTTTAAAGAGAAGGGAAGGGAGGGAGAAAGGGAGGGAGAGAAACATCAATGTGTGGTTGCCTCTCGAGCACCCCCAACCAGGGACCTGGTCCACAACCCAGGCATGTGCCCCAACTGGGAATCAAATCCATGACCAGTACTTAGTCCACTTGGCCACACCAGCAGCCACACCAGCCAGGGCCCTCAGAATTTTTCCTGACCCTCCAACACAGAAACCAGATCTCATGGGAGTGCAATGTACTTGTCGTATAATGTGGAAAATTAGAAAAACAAGAACTTCTCTGAAAGATTTTGGTTTTCATTTCTTACAGGAGAGGGCCTCTCCCGATTCCTAAAAGTTTACCAGGTATGCTGCCAAGAAAGACTTATGGGAATATTTAAATCAGGCTTTCTTTAAGGTGGAGTAGCTAGAATTTTGAAATCAAGGGAAAGAAGGGAATAGACAGAATCAAATTCCCCAAAAGAATGTCTATATTGAGTCTTACTATAGTATTATGTGTCACAGAGTGGACACTGGTCATTTGTATCTATGTTATAGCTATCCAGGAAAATTTAGCTTCTGGAGTACCAAAGAAACTTCTTATAAGGCAGTCTTACCTAAGAGATTATTTCATCTTGGACCATGAGAACAGAACAACTGAGATATAGTTTCCTTTGGATTACACAGAAATACAATTTATAGAAGGCATAGCTGTCTAGAACCCTGTAACTTAATACTGCATGTTTTGTGCATTGCCCATCATTGGGTCTTTCAGTAATCACTAGTCTCTATTTTTTCTGTAAACTGCTACCATACCTTGGGAGAACCACACATTTTAGCATTTTTGTTAGTTCTTTGGGTACTAATAAAATCCTCAAGGGCAGGCCCTTTGTTTTTTCCTGTATGACTCACCATACCTAATACAGTGCTGGGCACAGAATAGTTCTCAACAATGATTTGATTGAGAGAAAGATCTACCTAACTATGTTCAAGGGAATGAGGGAAGACACAGCTATTGCTGCATTTAGCAACTTAGCAAAAATTTAGTGACTGAAAATTGGCGGCTGGAATGACATCTTCGAACAATATAAGGATTTACATTATTTTTCTTCTCGTTGCCTTGTGATTACTTGACAATGTGGGACTTATTTCTTGTCCATAATTGAAGATGAATTTACCATTGGTGCTGCTGTCTGGGCATGGATGAAAAAGGACAAAGAAATCATAATAGGGATTTCCAGAATATTCTCTGGTTTGTAGTTGTGACTACCAGTTGTAGGTTTTGTTGCTGGATACATTTTCTTACAAAAGGGCAGTCTCTAGAACCTCTGAGTGGAGTGCCTTGATTTGAAAGGGCTGAGACCTTATGAACGAATGTCAGCTTCATGTTGCTCTGTGTCCCTGTGCAGATGACCCGGATTATTCTTTGATTGATGGCTACAGTTTGATCTACCAGTGACAGCGATGGTAAGAGCCTTCCATTTTCATGTCATCAAGTTGCATTTAGACTGGGGATAGTATTTTCGAAGCCTTGGGTGCTTCTTTACAACACCACTGAAGCCCCCAAAGCCTTGCATCAGGCTGGCGTGCTGGTGGGTGTGGTCTTCCTACAGGATGCCTTCTCTGGATCCCGCCACGGAAAGGGGACTGGAGACCACTCCACACCTATTTGAATGAGGGTATTTTTCCTTCACTAACTAGTCTGCAACTCTTTACCTTACTCTCATGAGGCTCTTCTGTGGCTGTTACCCACCTACATTAAAGGCAATGCTCATAATCACTTGTGGACTGCCTGAATACATGAAAACAAATTTTGATTGATAATAAATTTAGCTAATTCTAGGGAAAAAAGTAAGGGCAATGCTCAAAAACAAAACACACCTGATCCTCCCTTCTTCATCCCCCAAAGGGGAAAGGTCAAGTAAAAAAAAGTCAATAGAAATAAGGCAAATGATATTACACTCACCAGACACACAAGGGCATCCCAGGGCTCCCCCTGCACCAGACTGCTACTGCTCTGAGCTTGCAAACCACACAGATTCCTAGAGTGGGACTACTGGGCCAACCACGGCTGCACACACGATGCTTACTCTTTGGCATTTGAGTACTTGCAACATGCCCCAAGTCACTATCGGTCTTCACGAATGTTGAGGAATGCCTCTGAAGTCAAAATAGCAATAGTAAAAGAAACTCTTCCTAAAGTATAATTCTGTTAACCCAGTCAGGCGTATCTGGGGGTATGACGATATATGCATATTGTCTGATGTGCATGAAAGGTCTGAAAGGATATATTCCCAAGCAGGTAATTGTTTTCTTTTTGTTTGCCCATGTGTTCTAATTTGCCTGCAATGAAAACGTATTACTTCTTTAATTAAAAACTTTTAAAGAATCTGTCCTCCTTCGTACTTCTGGTCTTAATCTGTGTTCCCGGGAGTGACAGGAGAGGCAGAGAGGATACAGGAAGTCATAGCGGAAGCAGAACAGCCTCTCTCCCACCCTTTCTGGTTTTGTGTCAGTGACCTTCGCTGTTACTTATGAAACAAAACAGGTTTTTAACAGTGCTCCATGATGCTTTCCCTTTGGTGTACTATAGCACCAGCATTGCCTGGAAGTGAGCCCATCAAACAATGCTTGTCTTCAGCCTCCTAAAAACACCTACTTTGTAGCCCTGGCTGGCGTAGCTCAGTGGATTGAGCGCGGGCTGCGAACCAAAGTGTCGCAAGTTCAATTCCCAGTCAGGCCACATACCTGGGTTGCAGGCCACGGCCCCCAGCAACCGCATATTGATGTTTCTCTCTCTCTCTCTCTCTTTCTCCCTTCCTTCCCTCTCTAAAAAAAAAACCAAAAAAAACCCACCTACTTTGTGACTTCTAGCCATTTAACTAGATAGGATGCAAACCATGTTGTCTTGAGTAGATTTTAGATTTTATTTATTTATTTTTAGAGAAAGGGGAAGGGATAGAGTGCCTAACCAGCCAGTATTATTTATATTTAAATGTAAGTCTTTAAATTGCTCAGGAAGTGTGTTTAATGTTTAAGGAACTTTGCTGTAGAAGACATTGGAAATTGAAGACATAATAAAATACCCCATCCTCTAACTACATATAACTTCCTGACCTACAAAGTGTAGTCTTTACAACCAGTCATCATTTCCTCATTTTGTAAGCCTCCATGTTTCTCGTGGAAAGACACTGGGTCCATGTCAGAGGCGGAGCGGCAACATGGAAAAATCAATGACCTGGGAGCCAGAGGCAGAACTGGCTCCGGACACCCAGATGGTGGCTTTGGGCAGGGCCACGGCAGCTCCAGGAGTTTTTTTTATTTTTAACTTTGTCCTTTCAGCCCTCACCAGTTTGCAGAAAGCATATATTCTACTTGCTTAATAATAGCATTTAACTCCAAAACTCTAGTTCCTCTGAGCCCAAGAATCTGCTGGAACAAGCATGTTTACTCAAGTCATATCATTTCACTGGGGTTCATTCGTGTCCACACCAGCTCAGTGAGTAGGAATTCAGTGTATAGATGTATAATTGGCTGATGTAAGAGAATTTTAAAGATGGGAGTCTACCTTAGTTAGTAACTTCATAAGCAACTTAAAACAACATTTGAAATAGTTTGAAAGAACCTTTGAACTTTAAATTTAAGTAGGAAGTTTTAGGAACCTGCAGGTTGTTCTACAATTGTTTATTCTAGCTGCTATTCTTGTTTTTAATTCTAACATGTTTAGGCAAAGAGATTATAACTTTTTTGCATTCTTTTAAAATTTTTCTTTTTTTCTTGCTTTCTTTTTTAAAAATATTTTTTTATTTTTAAATTACAGTTGTACCATATTAAATTAGTCTCAGGTGTACAATGTTGTGGTTAGACATTTACATAACTTTGGAAGTGATCGCCTTGATAAGTCTAGTACCTGTCTGACACCATCCATGGTTATTACAATGTCATCAACTGTATCTCTACGCTGTACTTCACACTCCCCTGCCTGTGCTGTGACTACCAGTCTGTACTTCTAAATCCCTTCACTGTTTTCACCCATCTTTCAATTCTCAATCTTCTTTTGTTTTTTATTGAATTAACAGGGTGACATTGGTTAATAAAATTATATGGGCTTCGGGTATACGATTCTATAGTTCATCATCTGTACATTCCATTTTGTGTTCACCACTCCAAGTCAAGTCTTTCCTAAATTTCATTTTTCAACTGCAGTTTACGCTCTGTATTGTTTTGTATTAGTTTCAGGCACACAGCATAGTGGTTAGATAGTCACACACTTTACAGAGCGTGCTCCCTGATATTTCAAGCACCACCTGACATCATACCTAGTTATTACAACCTTAGTGACTATATCCTCCATGCTGTGCTTTACATCCCCAAGGCAGGTGATCACTTTTGAATTTGAAAATAGGTGCATCAAAAAATATGAATATGCATGTTATTTACCATCAAACGGCAGATGCTACTGTCACATTCCATTTTTCTTCATCACTTGGAATACCATTTCTTACCATGTGCTTTCCTTGGCCAAACACATTTATTCGTGTTGAATAAAATCTCAGTGTAGGAGCAGGGTGCTGATGTGAATGGTTAATTCAAATGAAATTTCTTTGTTATTCTTTCAGATCACAGAGCCTTTTCTGGCTGGTGCTTCTGTGGCAGGAAAGGAGGCACTCAGCCCAGCCGAGTCTGTGGAAATTGTGTCAATCATGAAGACTTTGAAGTGAACCCTTGCTGTAATTTTATGATATTTTAAGTTTATGGTAAACATTTAGTTTAACTTAAGCTAGTAGAGTTCTGCAGTTTCCAAATGAAGTTTACAGATCGGCCCAGACTCAAGAATGATCCTTTCTCAATCAGTTACTAAAGTTGTGAATGCATTGTTTTCTACTTGATCCAGAACAGTCTCTGGATTGGGCGCCTTGACTCTTGGGGGACAGGAACAGGGATGGCTGGAGAGGAGGCTGAGCCATCCCCCGCACGACAAGTCCCTCTGTATTTGGGGCAGCGTGCTCTGGCATTTCCACAGTGACACACTGTCAGTGGTGCATGATTTAAAATGACCTTCCTTTTTGACTGGAAGACTTAGAGGCCACCTGATCATGCTTTCCCATTTTGCAGACGAGGAAATGAGACCCAGAAGTGTGAAATCAGTTTCCTTACTGTTGTCCCGGCTGGTTCTGGACAGACCAGAACTAGAGTGCGAGCTCATCCTGCATCACTGTTCTTCTAACCCTTCCTGAGGCTGTGATGCTCTTGATGAAATTTGAGACGCCAACTGTTTTTGCTGGCATCTTTTAAACTGGGAAAACAACCAGGGTTTAAATGTCAGATTTATTTTTATATGGTTCAGTGTGTGTACTGAACTCCACAGCACCACCTTTAATTTAATGAGGAAACATCGATGGTAAAATATACTATTATTTCACACACCACTAAGAAAGTCCGGTAGGGGAGAGTTAACAGTTAACTTGTGACAGTTAATGGCCAAGCCCATTTGAATTTCAGATGCTAAAGCATGCAAAAGAAAAAAAAAAACAGAGAAAGAAAGAAAGAAAGAAAAAGAAAAGAAAGGAAGGAAGGAGGGGGAACATTGTCAATAAAATATAGTATTTTTACCCTATTCTTCATGAGAAACTTAGAGTTACAAAGCCAGACCTCAGTCCTGGGTCTTCAGAGAGAATCTTGCCCTTCCTAGATCCTGGAATCTTTAAAGCGTCAACCTTACCCTTTCACAAAAATTGGGGTTTTCCCTTTGTCACCCATAAACCGCAGGGGGATTATGTGCCTTTTGTACAATATTCACACACTGAGAAAGCACGTCATTTTAGGTAGTGACAAGTTAGACTAGCACTGGTACTCATTCAGTGTGTCGTAAAATTCTGTTACCACAAAGCAAATATTTTCCTCTCCTGCCCTGTACAATAGCTTTCCCAGAAATAGGGGCAAATTGATTGAAAGAAGACTCTTTTCCCTTTTTTAATGTAAAGCGCTAATGAAAGTGACAGCTTCTTGTCATGACAGGAAACTTGCAACAGTTGGATATCCTTTTGAGAAACTGAAGTTTGCAAAGGGCCATGGACTTCCCCAAATGAACAGTCTCAGGAAATTTTCCTTCAGACTCAGAACATTCTATTTCTAAGTGCTTTATTTATTGTTGGCAGTTCCTCAGGGATTTCACCTTTCTATTAGTCAGTATAGTGAATGTAAAAGTGTTTTATGATCTGAAAATATTTGTATTTTAATTGCTCTTTCAGTTCAATATGAAGTAAAATAAAGGTTCTTGATGATTTGGGATTTAGTTTGCCTGTTTGTGTTAACCATATCACTCTCCAAAGCACCGTGTGACCCTTTGTCACATTCGCTATTGTCAGACTCCAGAAGGACAAGCTGCTATGGTGGGAGCCCAGCTGGGCACTGGCAGCATGCCCCTTCCTACGAATCCTTCAGGTGCCAGCCTCTAGGTCACTTCCTCAGGGACTCCCACTTCTGTATCCTTCCCCTTCCTACAGTTTTCCTGTTATTACATAATTCACTCTTGTTATTACATAATTCGCTCTCATTTAAGGTTGGGCTACCCTCATAGACTTTAACCTCTGTGAGGGCAGGGCCCCTCTCTGTCCATTTTCCAGCCACATCCTGAGCACCTGACACACGGTAGTAAATATGGAAGAATCAGTGACCTAGAAGAGAGCATAGAGAAGCAACCAGCCGAGAGGGGAATAAGGAGTGTAAAGCCAGTCAAATAAGTATACTCGTTACATTCGGTAAATGTGAGCTACTGTGCCCACTCTTGGTATCTTGATTTGGGTTCTACCTGGAGCAGACCCCGCAATAAAGATTTTAGCGCAGGCACTTTTTCCTGGGGTTGGTGGGTTGATCCCTGAAAACACCAGTAAAAAAAAAAATAGCATGCGTTATCAAGGAAGTTACCACAGCGGGCAAGTGGGGTCTAAGCCTGTTGGGGACTCCTAGGAGGGACAGGCACCTCAGAGAGCTCACCTGAGGGGAGGGGCTGGGATAGTCACTCACCAGTTCCCTGGGGTTGCAGGTAGAGGGCTGCTCCTAGGAGGCATTTCCTGACATTTCTGGCCTGCTGTGAACTCTGGCTGAGCCAGTTCCAGCAGCCCACAGGATCCTCAGGCAGTTGGAAGTTGGGCCGTGGTGTAAGGAGGTGACAGGTACAAAGAGGGTCTGGATGGGGCGCTGACAGTGTTGAGCCCTGCGTGGCTCAGATGCACCTATGGCCACATGGAGTAGTGCACTCCATCCTGTCACCACCTCAAGTCCCAGTTTCCAGAGTACATGCACACACCGGGAAGTTTAATAGCATAAGCTCTAGTCCTGTTGCCACAGATGGCTCTGAGTTCATAAGTGATATTCATTATCTTCTTGCTCTACTGCCCTCTTATGGAGTGAATTATGTCCCTTCGAATTCATATGTTAAAGGACCCAACCCTTAGTACCTCGGAATGGGAATGTTGTTGGAAATAGGGCCTTTAGTGAGGTAATTAAATTGAAGTAAGGCTGTTGGGGTAGGGCCCTAATCCAGTCTTACTAGTGTCCTTATAGGAAGAGGAAGAGAAACCAGGGGTGCGAGGGCACAAAGGGACAAGCATATCAAGAGGCATCAGGAGGGTGGTCATCAAGAAGGCAGCTGTCTGCAAGCCAAGGAGAGAGACCTCAGAGGAAACTGACCCTGCCAGCAACTTGATCTTGGACTTCCAGCCTCCAGAACTGCAGGAAAACTAATTTTGATAATTTAAGCCACCCAGTCTGTGGCATTCTGCTATGGAAGCCCTAGCACACAGACACATTTTAGGTTCCCTTCACGCTTGGCATGTCTTCTTTCTGCTTGTCTAGGTTGCTTGAGTGGTGGGGTGACCTAGACCCTCATCGCTAAGGGGTCTTAATCCCTGGTTGTCAGGCTCTTGTCAGACTTTGTCAACAGAAATTGCCAATGTATATTCAACACCAGGCATGGTAACACCAAGAGGCATCCCAGTGAAAGTCCTGAGTTCCAGACATCGTCCTCCTTGCCCTCCTTCCTCATAGTAATAGCCTACTCCTGCTGGGTAGTTACTGCTTCCTTTGATTGCTAGTCTGTTGGCATGAAGACCCCCAAATGACCAAGCATCAGCCGTAGTTTTACTGGAACCCTTTCTATGTCCCATGGTAGTTGTAACCCCTGCTGACCCCCTAAAGTTAGGTGCTCTAGTCCAGCAGAGCCTAACATGGAAAGGATGGGAACACAAATTCCCCAGGTGGGTCAATGTGAGCTATGGTGACAGAGGCCACTCCTACCTCTTGGATTCCAGACCTGTGTTTTCTACCTGTTGGAGTCAGAACATACAGTACCCTATTGTGACCATATGTGGCCCCATATTCCTCATCTGTAAGACCAGCATCCCAGCCCTGCGAAGGTGCTCTCATGTTGCTGCGCCTTTAAGAGGCCATCCCAATATTCTATCAGGGCCATAGTTTCAATGAACTGTGGTGTTTAGGAGACAAAGCATAACAAAGACTTGTTATGCTGCCTTCATTGTAAAGTGAAGCTCTTGGTATAAGGCATGAGTTCTCAGCTAATATCACTTTCAAGGGGGTGAAGATTAGTTTTTGATGGGCAAAACAACTCTTCTGGTGCATATAGCACAGATACAGTGTATCCGTGGTATTAAAATTTTGTGGGAGTGGCAATTAGGAAAAATGTCTAAAAAGACATTAGGGGAGTGGTAATGAAAATTTGATAAGCACTTGTCAAAGGGACTGTTACATGAAATTTCATAGTGATATAGACCCATAGCCTTTGCATAGTGTTGCCGGCCAAGCCACTATGGGCAGAAAGGGAGAATCCATCCTAGGGATCAACTCCAAGGAGATGGATCTCTGTCCCTCCCAGAGTGGAAGGAGTTTGATGAAATCAATTTGCCACCAAATGGGTGGTTGGTTTCCTTGAGGTATGGCAACAAATTAGGGCTCGGCCTCTGAGGCTAATTGTTCAGACATCCAGTGGTAGACACTCGGTCAGGCCTGGTGAGTGGGAGCCGCTCTAGAGTTTCATCCCTGCCACTGCAGCTACTCTGTCTGCAAGCCCAGTGAGGAAGCCCGGAGGCAGCCAAGGACAGAGGCTGGCTGGACTGCACAGGATGAGTCATCCTAACCACCTGGTTGTTTTGTACTTCCTTTGATGGATACTTTCATGTGAGCACTAACATAAGACACAAATGTTTGACCTTTATGCCTATTCTTGTCTACTAACCTTGTCTCTTGATTAACCAGTCACATCATGTGTCACTGCCCAGAAGTCTTTGTATATACTTACCTTGGGCTGTGCCTCCTCTCACACAAGGCTGACGACCAGCTGTGTTACCTGACGCACCACCCACTGGGAGTACTTCTCTTCACCACTGTTTTTCACAGTCACTCCTGACTGGGGCTGTAGTGTGGTGGCAGTCCACACACAGACTAATTAACATAGAGAGCTGATCTATCTTTGAACCAGACCTGAGTTTGTTTGTTGTCCATCAGTTGGGTTGAAGGAACCTATGCGGCCGCAGGTATGAGCTGAAGGAGAGGTGTAAGTGCAACCGAGGAAGTGACGGAGGCGCATGCATTGCCTATTTGTGTGATATATTTGGCTTTGACTTTCGGGGTTTGCCCCACCTACCCAGAATGTCCCATTTCCATTGTACAGTAGATTGCTGACATGCTGGCTTGATTCAGCTGTCTGAGGAAAGCTAAAATATTTTACTCACAACATTATTTCAAACATTTCCTGTTCATACTTCTTTTATATTTTAATAAAATGTACCTCTTTAAATGAAACCATGGAGGTTTTCTGGCGTTTCTTATTAGTCTCCAGTGACATGAACTTATACTTTTCTTCAGTGCACCAACAGCAGTTGATAACAACTAATCAGGACTTCATATCTCTCAAATGCTAGCAATACTGAATAAGCCCGTCCCCCTGAATCTTACCTTAATGGACCCCAGATGAGGCTTCTAATAATTGTGATGCTTTAAGCTCAGAATTTCTCACCATTCTACTCCCATAAACAGTGAGACCCTTGTTACCACCTAACTGGGAAGGAATCTAATTCCAGTAACCCACCCTGACATGTGAGTACCGTTTCCAGTACTGTCTTAGTGTGGGTTACCCGCAGAAGGAGGCCCAGAGACAAGAATTTGAGATCAAGTTGTTTATTTGGAAAGTGAATCCAGTGGACACCAGTATTAAAATAGGAAGCAAAAAAGGAAAGAGAAGGAAGTTGAATAAACTGTTGTCAACCAGGTTTCCACTGTGGGAAAGGAGGTGACTCACCCTGGGGGCTCTGGGAAACAGTGCAGAACGCACGCGTCAGCGGAGTGCTTCCACCCAGCAGGTGAGGGAGCTGGGCATTTGTACCAGCTTGCTAAAGCTGCTGGAATAACCACAAACTGGGCGGCTTAAATAATGGAAGTTCATTACCTCACAGTTGGGAGCTCCAAAATCAAGGTGTCAGCAGGGTTGGTTCCTCTGGAGGACCGTGAAGGAGGGATCTGTTCCTGGCCTCTCTCCCTGCCTTCTGTGTGTCTGTGTCAAAATCCCCCCTTTCTGTAAGGACACCAGCTGTATTGGATGAGGGCCTACCCTTATGACCTCATTTTGACTTGATTACCCCATGCAAAGACCCTGTTTCCAAATGAAGTCCCATTCGGAAATACTGAGGGTTAGGACTTCAACATACACCATTTAGGGGATGCAGTTCGACCTATAACTATTTACATGCCGACTCTCATGTCCCTGGTTGAGGGTTGCTTTCAGTTCAGGGCAGTGTGTTAGTTCCCTGGCACTTTCAGCCCATCATACACGTGGCCAAGTGAGCTCTGAGGCTCAGAGGTGCTACCTGTTGGGATTTGGGTCTGTATACTCAAAACTAAGTGCCCAGAGGACACAAGTGGGGCACCAGCAGCGTCTGATGCTTTGGGAGTACAAATTACTGCTTCTAGGACCCATTTAAACTTTTTTTCTTAGTAGGTAAGATTATGAAAGGGAGAATCATAGGAAAAAGACAAGCTTTACATGTTTTTCTTCCTGTGGAAACCAAAGTCTATTAACTCTATAGAGATCCCCTCTATACAAGAGTCTTAAAAAAATGTAGTCTGGATATTTTTGGTGATTACCTGCACTGTCAGCTAATTGTCTCAAGAAACTGAAATAATTTAGAAGTAACATGATTTTTAATAATGTAAAAATTCACTTAGTAAGCATGAATGATGACATAACGCCTCCTACAGAATGATGTAGAGCAGGGGTC